AAACAAGAAACCAGTTTAGTAAAGCAGCAGGTGGGAATGCAAAATGGCCCAACTACTATGGGAAGCTGTGTGGAGGACCCTCAAATTACTAATGATAAAAATGGAGCTTCCATATGACCCAGCAATTCCACTCCTTGGAGTCTGCCCAAAGGACACAATAACATTAATTCAAAAGGAAACCTGCATTCCTATGTTTACTGCAGCACTATTTACAATTGCTAGGATATGGAAGCAACCTAAGTGCCCCAAAGAGATGACCGGATCAAGAAGATGTGGTACAGGGCCTCCCCGGTGGCGCAGCGGTTGAGCGCTGGATTGCAAAGCTGCCTGCACCCTCTGCAGCGCCGGTTCGATCCCCGGCCACCAGGCCAGTGTCCCACATGGTGCACAGACCTCTTCTGCCGCCCGCTGCTCCCCTCAGCAGTGTACTTCGTCAGTCTGCCTGCTCTGTTCCCCGCTCTGACTCTGGTGAATCCTCTCACCCTCCTGAGCTTCTGACTGTACCCAGTGCTTGTATGAATAAATAAATAAATAAATCTTAAAAAAAAAAAAGAAGAAGATGTGGTACATATATACACAATGGGATACTACTCAGCAATCAAAAAATATCAATAAACTCATGGCATTTGCAGCAACATGGATGGAGCTGGAAAGGATTGTGCTTAGAGAAATAAGTCAGAAGGCGAAAGAAAAAATATATAATGGCTTCACTTATAGCAGGAATATAGGGAAACTGAACAAAGGGTCAGGAACAAAAGACAAAACTAGCAGATGAATTATAGATCCAGTGTGGAGCCTTTGCTTGGGCCACCCTGGAGAAGGCCAGAAACAAACGCAGTGGAAACTCCCCATGTGGTGGAGACTAACTTTTCTCAAAAAGTCTTCTAGCTTCACTCCCCACAACCAAGGCCCAGAAGGACTGTACACAATCACCTGCTGTTTCCCTGCCTGGGGGTGGGGGGCACCTTGTCTAGTGTCCAGTGGTCTCAGTTTCTGCCTGGGGAGATGAGAGAGGAGGAAAAGAGTCACTGCGGGGGAGCAGGGGGCACGGAAGGATGGTGTTAAGGTGCAAGAGACAAACTGGCAAGGGACATGCAACCACTGCCCCTGCTGCCACCACCACCACCACTTTTATGGGCGCCAGTAACCCCTTTAGTCCCAGTTGTCAGTGGCAAAGGATGGGGAACTCCAGAGGCGAGGCATCAGGCCCTCACTTGCCAACAAACAGCCCAAATCGGCACTGCCCTCAGCTGGTCAAATCGGTTTGATGAAATGTAGGCACATTTTACATGAATGTTAATTGTGTTAGGCTGTTGGTGGGGGCCTCTGCTACTGAAGCATATCCCATCCTGACTGCTGCCTGCACTCAACCAATGTTGGGTAACGATTCCTGAGCATCTGGCAGACTGTCAGCATAAGCACTGACAGTACTTGTTGTGGCAGTCGAGTTCGCTAAGCATTCCAAATGGGAGCAAACATATATGCATTGACTGATGAATGGAAACCAGTCTAATTCTGCTCTGGTGTGCACAGAGCAGAACAATCCTTTGTTTTTCCACACTACAATTATTTTATAGGCATGCATGATAGTCATTATAGCAGCATTCACATTATACTTCTTTCTCAGTTATCACTTAGGATCACCTTTCTAGTCCTCGCTAGTATCTTTGATAGGCTCTTTGGGAACTGCAACTTTAAAATAGACGTGTAATGCAACCAATTTCACCATGCGCTAATCGATATAAACGAGTTACATTCCTGGCCACGAAAACACATCAAACTTCTAAATAAATCCTCACAGAATCCCCACCAGCTAATATTTTTTTTAAAACATGGGGTAGCTCCCGGAACATCAACACCAGACACCCACCAGGGCAACAGGCACCCCATAATCACGCAAATGCTGCATCCTGGAATCAGACAACTACAGCTGATTGACATGGTCACCCTGAAAGGCCCAATGTGCCTGGAGGACGCCCAAGAGACTGTCCCGACATGAACTGAGCTAAGGGGCACCCCCTACTAGAATCCTCAACCTCCATCCCCTCATCCCACACCTATGCAAGGTAATGTATCAGCGATTTCCAGGAGTTAAGATGTGGAACTTCGTGGACACCGCTGCCCTGCCCACTGCCCTCTGCTCCCTCTGCTGTGTTCACCTCCCCCTACCTACCTTGGGTGTGCCAATTCCCCCGAGTGTCCAGGGAGACGGGTTGCCTGGCCTCGGTGTTGGGCTGGCGGTGGGGGGCGAGGGAGGTACTGTGCCCAGGAGCTAGGCAGTGGGCAGAATGACACAGGCTGGGGCCCAGTGTTCTCCAGGCCAGTAGCCGCTGCCTCTGTGGCTACAGAGGAGGCTGGAGGGCAAAGGCAAAGGGGACACAGCGAATAAGGAGAGAGCCTACTTCCTCCTCTCCCCTGGACCCAGATGTATTACTTTAACCTGAGTCTCAGCAACTGCGTTTCACTTCCCCTGAACTGGAAGATTTGGCACCTCGCAACAGAGGACCCGTGCACCCAGAGGGGGAGAGAGGCTGGCAAAAGGAGTCACCAAGAGCCGTGTGCATGCCCTCTCTCAATGCATTTCTTTTTTTTAAGACTTACTTATTTTATATAAGAACCGGGGTACAGGTTAGATGCGGGGGAGGGTGAGAGGATTCACCGGAGACAGAGCGGGAAACAGAACAGGCAGACTGAGGAAATCCACTGCTGAGGGGAGCAGTGGGCGATTCAGGAGAGGTCTGCTGCGCCATGTGGGATTCTCGCCGCCGCGGGCCAGGATTGAACCCGGGCTGCAGAGGATGCAGACAGCTTCACAGTGTGGCGCTCAGCTGCCTGCACCACCAGGGAGGCCCTCAATGCATTTCTCCACTTCCTCAGCCTGGCAACCACCGCCCCCACCTCCCCGGATAGTGCGTGTGCCGGACTTCTCCCATCTCACAACTTCTCCGAGTGTCTTGGCAGGCAGAAACCCCAGGGGCAAAGCCTCACCTAACCTGCTCACTCAGACGGCAGCCCACGCTGTCACCCCTCCAACATTAATCACTGGGGACAGAGTCAGCCTTACCTAAGCAGTCAAATCTGCCTTCCCACGTGAGGGGCTTGAAGGGGAAGGATCGAGCCCCATGGACATCCTTGTCAGGCCCGGATTGTTCAGTCTGTGTTCTGAGCACCCAAGCTCATGCACGACGGGGCCTGGAAAGACGAGGGGTGCCCATAGGGACAAGGGTGGAAGCAAGCCGGCCCAATTTTCCAACTTCTAACACCCGGGAAGTGCTGGGTTCCGCCCCCAGCATCCGGTGAGCTCACGCGGGGCCATCTCCCAGGGAGCCCCTGGCCGCAGGCAGACATGAGGCGCGGCCCAGCTGCTCTGAGGCCGCGCGCCCCTTCCATCCCGCGCACAGGAGGCTTCAGACCGCATGGTCCTGCCGGAGGAGGATGCAGAGCCTGCTCCAGGCGCTCCGACATCTCGCGTGGCCCGACTCCTGCTCGGGGAGTTTGGCGACCTCCAGGTCAGGCCCCTAAAGCACCCCACGATTTAGGAATTGAGCAACAGCCGTGGACAAGGCAGACCCGGCCCTTGCTTTTGTTCCTTTGATCCCTGCCGGGTGCTGGACCACAGCCTACTACTTACTCCCCTTTGACCCCTGAGAAACACCTTCCTGCCTCCGAGAACATCCCCCGGGACTTTCTTCCCAGAAACGCCAGCACACGCACGGGACCCGGGAATGTTCCACCCGGGGTCAGGCCCACTTCTGGGTATTAGACACCCAACCCCTCGAGAGAGGGGCCTGGCAGAGGGAGGTACGTGCACCGCACTCCAACACGAACACGTCCCCTGAGTCTCAGGCCCGCACAGCCCCACGCCCCTCCCCGCGCAGGGCCTGGCCGAGGGAGGGAAGCGATTCCCCACCCTCAGCCAGAGGCGGACGTAAACATGGGGCTCGGGTTGTAGCGACTCCGCGGTGACAGCACGCCGCGTTGTATTAATCATGTGTCGCGTGTGTCCCCCCGGAGGAAGTCCGGGAGGCTGAGCTGGGACGCAGAACTGTCAGTTCCGGGAAAACCCGTGTCCGGGGTGGTGAGCACGACTTCCCTGGACCACTCCCGCACATCCGGACCGCCGTCCGCACTTGCCACAGCAGCTGGGCCCTCGCGCTCCGGAGCGCGGCGACGCCCAGGCTGGAGGCGGGCCGGTGAGCTGCTTAGGACACGCAGGATGAGAACGCTCCCGGCGACCGCTAGGCCGCCCGTGTCCAGGTGCCAGCGCCCGGCATCCCCCGAGTTGGCCCAGACGCACCACCAGAGACTCATTCCCCAAACCTCCCCCCAACCGAAAGGCCTCCCCACTGGCATCAAAGGTGAGGATTAGAGAGGAGAGGAGGGTGAGCCCCGGGTCCCGCCTGAGTCGCGCGGTGCGCGGTGGCACCAGAGGGAGATGAAGGCTCCATGGAGAGGACAGGGCCTGAGACGAGGGGAGTTGGGCTCCTCTGCACTCTGAACCCCCGCCGAGTCACAGGTGCAGAAAGGGCCCCCAGACAGAGCCGCAGAGGTCCAGGACGCTGGTGACAGAGATGCAGGGCGGGCTGGGAGAAGCAGGGCAGCGATCCCAGGGAGGAAGGAAAGAGGCTGGGAGCTCTGCAAGGGGGTCACGAAGCCCTGCTGAAGGGAGGGGAACGGCACCATGATGAGACCCCGTCGCCCCAAAAGAGGAGGCAGCCCAGAAAGAACACACAGAGGGCCTGCAGGGAAAGGAGGAGGGGCTCCTGTGGCCGGGCAGAGCCCACGCAGAGCCCAGTCCCAGGTGCGGTGGAGCCCGGTGCATGGCTCTTGCTCACAGGCTGACCCGGGCTGGCCCAGATGCCCGACGGTGCGGGGGGGGGGGGGGGTGCACAGGGGTGGGCAGGAGACTGCAGAGTGCCAGAGGAACTCTTCTGGAAAAGGTTCTGAAATGGAGCAGCTCCCCGCCCTATCCCACAGAGAGGCAGACCACGGAACATGACAGACACTTTAATTTGAAACTGCTGTGAACCGGGGTGGGCAGAGGGCACCGGGAGGAGGAGGAAGGGAGAGGGCTGACGGAGAACAGGACCCAGTCAGCTTGGCCACAGCTCCTGGGCTCCCAAGCCACCAGCCGCCTCTCTCGTAGCAAGATGCGGGCTTCAACCTGTCAAACAAAGCAGAGTCAGAGAAGAGCCTCCCGCCAGGCCCAGCCCTCAGCCCCCCTCAGCAGCCAAGACTGCGGGACGGGGCATGGTATGTGTAACACTCACTTCACAGGGTCTGGGACTTGTCAGCCAGGGACTGCTTGCCTGCGGAAACAGAGAGGCATAGGCACGCGGCCCAGACACAGGGCTCGAGAAGCCCGGCCCGCCCCCGCGAGGAACTGCCTGGCCCTGTAACCTGAGACCCCCCTCTGGCCCCATCCACAGAGCCCTGGGACCGACTCACGCACCCATCCCCTCCACTCAGCGTGCACGTATTTTGGACGTGGCAACACAGCGTGCGGCACTTCTCAAGCTTTGGGGGCACATCAGAACCACTCAGGACGTGTGAGACAGGCACATACATCAAGACACACACACACCGTAGAAGCCACACCAGGGCGCAGCGCAAGGGAGCTAGTGGACAGACGGGGTGTCTCTAAACATACAAAGAGAAGACCGGTAGGGCCGCTTCTCTTTGGCAGCGTGCGGCGCACAGGTCAGACAATACGTTTCCGACCTGTGTATACAACTCGCTGTAAATGCACACAAGGCTCCGGGGCCAAGCCTGCGGGGTTCCCATCCCCTGGGGAGGGTGGTCCCTGTGAGGCTCCTGCACCTGCAGCCCTTCCCCCCTGCAGCCCCCCAGCTGATGCAGTGAGCCACAGCAGTCTGCCCCCGCCCCGGCCCGCCCCGGCCCCGGCCCCGCCCCCGCCCGAGGTTGCTCATACCAAGATGCGCTCTGAGCTCCTCTATTTCTTTCTGGAGTGTCACACACTGGCCGAGCGCAGTGGAGAAGGAAAAGAGATCAGTGTACTCTGGCCTCCTCTCGCCTCCTCTGCCCCTGGCCCTCCATCCCTAGCCCAGGGGTCCTCGTTGGGAAAGGAGGCCCGCTCCGTCCACGTCCTGGGGGGAGGCGGGATGGGGAAACCGGGTGGGGCGGGGCGGGGCGGGAGGGACACTTGTGAATAGGACCTGGACTCGCACCCACCGTCTAGTTGGGACCTGCATTTCTAGGAGCCAGGCGAAGCGCTACCTGAGGACAGCCCTGTGCTGCAGGCGGCTGCCTTTCTGGTCTTGGGGGATGGTCTGGTGGCTCCTGGTCATCTGAAAGAGACACACAAAATGCTGCCTGCAAGGCTGAGAGTGAGTGAGGTGAAAGGGCCTGGCGGGTCTAACGTGAGGCAGCACCACCCTCTGCTGGCAGCCAGTGGCCCCTGCCCTGCCTGGAGCTCCAACCTTCTCCCTGGGCCCTGCCTGCCCTGCTTCCCAGGGGCGGCCCAGATGCCACCCCGGCCCTGGGTTGGAGGCTCCCACAGCTGCAGCCACAGCCAGCCTCTGGGAGGAGCCATCTGACCCACCAGGACACCCCAGGAACGGCTGTCCTCCCCTCAAAGGCCACTCCTGTGGGCAAGCTGCTCAGGCAGGCAGGGAGGCCTGGCAGCAAGCCCGAGACCCCAGCAGACCGACACACGGCCACAGAGTTCCCTCCCCCCAGCCCGTCTCCCCTCTGCTCCTAAGTAAGCCACAAGACTCACCCGAGGCTGTGGGCCCCCTGAGCATGACGTCTCCCTGACTGGGGACCAAGAGCTGAGAGATTGCAAGAGCTTGGGGGGCTCTGGTGTTGCGGTCTCGAATGCTGAATTGTCCACGGTGCATACTCAGAGATGACCTTGATCTCTGTGCAGGAAGCTAACACACACATCCTCCACTGGTGAACTCGGGGTGTAGGGGTGTGTGTGTGGGTTGTTTTGGGGCTGGGTGGAGGCTGGCCATGGAAAAGGAATTCTGAGGCAAACCTCATTAGCACTTTCATTTCACTCTGTCAGCCCCAGGCAGGAGCAGGGCTGAGCTAGGGAGAGCACTGAGAAAGGAAGGCTTGGGGAACAGCTAGGGGTAGGAAGCAGAAGGCCATGCCTGCAGACAGGGAAGCTTCCAGGCCCACACTTGCAAGGGCTCCCCCGATGGAAGTCAGCCTGCAGTCCTGCCTTCCACCCAAGGCCCTCCCCAGGGGCAGGTGCAGGAAATCCGCCAAGGCAGGACGACTGTGGGCTGCACGCACGCCAGCACATGCCACGCGCGTGTGCACACACACGCACGCGCATGCACACAGTGCTGTCTCAATGCTGGCCCCCTCGAGAGAGACCCCCAGCTGGCATCCTGCCCACCACGGAGCCCAAGGACCGCCTCTGAGGACTGGGCAGAGGGGGCATGGGCACAGAGGTGTGTGCCGGGCCAGCGGGTGGGAAGGGGGCAGGAGGCGGGCCTACTCACTTGGCCCTTGGGCACTGGACCTCTGTCTGGGTCATTTTCTTCTCCCGCCACCACCGGCTCCAACTCCCGGGGCTTCCTGGCGCCAGATTTCTTGCCAGAGACACCAGCGCGCTTGGACTGCTTGGTTGCCCACGGCACCGGGCTCTGCTTCTTGGACCTCCCGAGCAGCTGAACGCCGCAGATTGGGGGAAGCCAGCCGGCTCCAGGGGCGCTGCCTGGACTCTCAGCCCCCAGGGAGGAAAGAGTCTCCCCAGGCCATCTCGGAGCCAGGGGGCAGGGACTGCCGCACCTGAGCCACCCCCTTCCTAGGAGCGGCCCGGGGCAGCGGCAGGCCCGCCACACCAACGGCTCGCGGGGGGCCGGCCTGCCGCCCGCCTTGCCCCACAAGGCGCCCTGCATCCTCTTGGAGGCAGCCGCGGCTAGCTCTCCCGCCGCCTGCCTCTCCACCACCGCGGGGAGGCCTCGGGCAGCGGCTGCCAGCAGCGAGCCCAAGCCCGAGCCCGAGCCCGAGCCCAGGGCCGTCCCGTGAACAAAGCCCTCCCTGACCAGGAAGCTCGGCAGGCGGCCTGTGTCTCTGTCTCCAGGATCATCCAGGCTGCTGGCGCTGGCCGGGCCTCCTCTGGTGTAGATGCTCACCCTCATCATGTGGATCTCGCTGATCTCCTCTGGGCACTCGGGGTCGGTGGGCAGAGCCAGCAGGGGGCTGGCGGGGGGGCCACGGGTGATCCCTGCCCACGCTCCACCTGCCCTTCGGGGCCCTCTTAGCGACGGCCCCGGCCCGGCCTCCCTGGGCCCTGCTCGCGGCTGGGGGCGCCGGCGGCCGGCTGCAGCTCCACGCAGCTCTGGAGCAGCGGGCCTCGCCCACCCGGCCCGGCCTCCAGGCCCGCCCAGATGGCGGCCAAGTCGATGGGGCAGTCCTCTGGGACAGGCTTCTGTGCCTGCCCCGGGGCTCCTGGGCGCTCCTCCACGCCACAAGGGCCGCCCCACTCGCGTCGGCAGGGCGGGCCGCCGGGGCCTGGGCATCGCCCTTGGGCTGGGCTGAGGAGCCAGGCCGGCCCCGGCGGCCCCCGCGCCTCGGCCTCCCCGCTCCCGGCACATCGTGCTCCCACACGAAGCTCTCGGGCTCCTGGGGCCCACCGTGGACGTCGCCGCCGGCTGCCCCCAACTCAAGGCCTTGGCTGAGTGCCCGCGAGGCCGCGCGCCGGCCACTCTGCGCGCGGGGCCGCTCGCTGCCCTCAGGGCCCGAACCCGCCCCCCAAGCAGTCACCTTCCTGGGGAAGCTCATGGTTCGCGCGCACACGCGTGTGCGGTCAGTGCCGGCCGTGGACACGGGGTCGCACCGGGCCCCGGTGCGGGGCCTGGCCGGTGGCACGGATGCGCCGCGCCCGCCACGCCGCGAGGCCCTCGCGCACTCCCGGTCGCCTCGCCCGAGGCGCCTCAGGAGCTCGCCTCCCGCCACCAACACCAACGAGCAACTTGCGCGCCCTCAGACGCCGGCACCGCCCTGCCTTCTCATTGGCCAGGCTCCGCGGCGCCGACCAATCGGCTGGCGCGCTTTGCGTTTACCCCCGCCCCCGGGGCCCTGGCTCCCCCTGGCGGCAGGGACCGGTCCCGCGAGGTTCCGGATAGCGTGCCCTTGGTCCCACCTCTTTCTGGACCCCCACCCCCTAATTACAGTCGCGCCTCTGAGCCTCGCTTTGTCACCCAGGAACGCGGGCGAAGGCTGCGCCCCCCACCCCCCCACAGTGTGGGGCCAGGAGCGGTGGGCCCTGCTGGGAGCAGGGGGCAGCAGTGGGGAGCCGCTTGTGAGAGTGAAACCGAATGACAGGCCAGAAGCACCCCGTGCGCGCATGCGCTGAAGGACCCACCGGCCTCTAGTCCACAGCCAGATGGCACAGGGGGCAGAGCAAGCCCGCCAAGGCCAAAGATGGGGCTCTGCAAGCTGTTTGGGCGAAGGGCCCGCGAGCCAAGGCTCCCGCATATACAGGCTGCGCGCAGATGGCTACTGCAGCATAGGGAGGCGGATGGGCCGGGCCTGCGTGCTGGGGCCTTCATGAAGTAGAAGGCAGGCTTGGAAGGCGGGTCGGCTTCGCCCCCTTTTTGTCCCTGCGCCACTGCCGCTTAATTCAGGGCCGAGGGAATTCTGATGGCCTGTGCACATGCCCAAAGACGGCCTCCAGCACTGCTCTGACGTGCTCTCAGGCCGCCAGTCTGCTTTCCCACACCAGGCTGGCAACCAAGACCCCTAGCCATTCCAAGACTGGGACAGGTTGTGAGCAAAGCCCTGTTTTCGCCCATGGGGTAGTGTGTGCTGCTAGAGCACAAGAGGCACTTGGGAGGGTCTTTGGGCAGCCCGTGAAAAGCAGCCTACACAACATGGTACTCCTGACAGGTGCCTTCCTATTTATGTACAGTGCTAGAGGAGGACCAGGTGCACAGTACCTGAGAGCACGTCAGAGCAGTGCTGGAGGCCGTCTTTGGGCATGTGCACAGGCCATCAGAATTCCCTCGGCCCTGAATTAAGCGGCAGTGGCGCAGGGACAAAAAGGGGGCGAAGCCGACCCGCCTTCCAAGCCTGCCTTCTACTTCATGAAGGCCCCAGCACGCAGGCCCGGGCCCATCCGCCTCCCCTATGCTGCAGTAGCCATCTGCGCGCAGCCTGTATATGCGGGAGCCTTGGCTCGCGGGCCCTTCGCCCAAACAGCTTGCAGAGCCCCATCTTTGGCCTTGGCGGGCTTGCTCTGCCCCCTGTGCCATCTGGCTGTGGACTAGAGGCCGGTGGGTCCTTCAGCGCATGCGCGCACGGGGTGCTTCTGGCCTGTCATTCGGTTTCACTCTCACAAGCGGCTCCCCCACTGCTGCCCCCTGCTCCCAGCAGGCCCACCCGCTCCTGGCCCCCACACTGTGGGGGGTGGGGGGGGCGCAGCCTTCGCCCGCGTTCCTGGGTGACAAAGCGAGGCTCAGAGGCGCGACTGTAATTAGGGGGTGGGGGTCCAGAAAGAGGTGGGACCAAGGGCACGCTATCCGGAACCTCGCGGGACCGGTCCCTGCCGCCAGGGGAGCCAGGGCCCCGGGGCGGGGTAAACGCAAAGCGCGCCAGCCGATTGGTCGGCGCCGCGGAGCCTGGCCAATGAGAAGGCAGGGCGGTGCCGGCGTCTGAGGGCGCGCAAGTTGCTCGTTGTTGGTGGCGGGAGGCGAGCTCCTGAGGCGCCTCGGGCGAGGCGACCGGGAGTGCGCGAGGGCCTCGCGGCGTGGCGCGCGCGGCGCATCCGTGCCACCGGCCAGGCCCCGCACCGGGGCCCGGTGCGACCCCGTGTCCACGGCCGGCACTGACCGCACACGCGTGTGCGCGCGAACCATGAGCTTCCCAGGAAGGTGACTGCTTGGGGGCGGGTTCGGCCCTGAGGGCAGCGAGCGGCCCGCGCGCAGAGTGGCCGCGCGCGGCCTCGCGGGCACTCAGCCAAGGCCTTGAGTTGGGGGCAGCGGCGGCGACGTCCACGGTGGGCCCAGGAGCCCGAGAGCTTCGTGTGGGAGCACGATGTGCCGGGAGCGGGGAGGCCGGCGCGGGGCCGCGGGGCCGGCCTGGCTCCTCAGCCCAGCCCAAGGGCGATGCCCAGGCCCCGGCGGCCCGCCCTGCCGACGCGAGTGGGGCGGCCCTTTGTGGCGTGGAGGAGCGCCCAGGAGCCCCGGGGCAGGCACAGAAGCCTGTCCCCAGAGGACTGCCCCATCGACTTGGCCGCCATCTGGGCGGGCCTGGAGGCCGGGCCGGGTGGGCGAGGCCCGCTGCTCCAGAGCTGCGTGGAGCTGCAGCCGGCCGCCGGCGCCCCCAGCCACGCGAGCAGGGCCCAGGGAGGCCGGGCCGGGGCCGTCGCTAAGAGGGCCCGAAGGGCAGGTGGAGCGTGGGCAGGGATCACCCGTGGCCCCCCGCCAGCCCCCTGCTGGCTCTGCCCACCGACCCCGAGTGCCCAGAGGAGATCAGCGAGATCCACATGATGAGGGTGAGCATCTACACCAGAGGAGGCCCGGCCAGCGCCAGCAGCCTGGATGATCCTGGAGACAGAGACACAGGCCGCCTGCCGAGCTTCCTGGTCAGGGAGGGCTTTGTTCACGGGACGGCCCTGGGCTCGGGCTCGGGCTCGGGCTTGGGCTCGCTGCTGGCAGCCGCTGCCCGAGGCCTCCCCGCGGTGGTGGAGAGGCAGGCGGCGGAGAGCTAGCCGCGGCTGCCTCCAAGAGGATGCAGGGCGCCTTGTGGGGCAAGGCGGGCGGCAGGCCCGGCCCCCCGAGACCGTTGGTGTGGCGGGCCTGCCGCTGCCCCGGGCCGCTCCTAGGAAGGGGGTGGCTCAGGTGCGGCAGTCCCTGCCCCCTGGCTCCGAGATGGCCCTGGGGAGACTCTTTCCTCCCTGGGGGCTGAGAGTCCAGGCAGCGCCCCTGGAGCCCGCTGGCTTCCCCCCAATCTGCGGCGTTCAGCTGCTCGGGAGGTCCAAGAAGCAGAGCCCGGTGCCGTGGGCAACCAAGCAGTCCAAGCGCGCTGGTGTCTCTGGCAAGAAATCTGGCGCCAGGAAGCCCCGGGAGTTGGAGCCGGTGGTGGGAGAAGAAAATGACCCAGACAGAGGTCCAGTGCCCAAGGGCCAAGTGAGTAGGCCCGCCTCCTGCCCCCTTCCCACCCGCTGGCCCGGCACACACCTCTGTGCCCATGCCCCCTCTGCCCAGTCCTCAGAGGCGGTCCTTGGGCTCCCGTGGTGGGCAGGATGCCAGCTGGGGGTCTCTCTCGAGGGGCCAGCATTGAGACAGCACTGTGTGCATGCGCGTGCGTGTGTGTGCACACGCGCGTGGCATGTGCTGGCGTGCGTGCAGCCCACAGTCGTCCTGCCTTGGCGGATTTCCTGCACCTGCCCCTGGGGAGGCCTTGGGTGGAAGGCAGGACTGCAGGCTGACTTCCATCGGGGAGCCCTTGCAAGTGTGGGCCTGGAAGCTTCCCTGTCTGCAGGCATGGCCTTCTGCTTCCTACCCCCTAGCTGTTCCCCAAGCCTTCCTTTCTCAGTGCTCTCCCTAGCTCAGCCCTGCCTCCTGCCTGGGGCTGACAGAGTGAAATGAAAGTGCTAATGAGGTTTGCCTCAGAATTCCCTTTCCATGGCCAGCCTCCACCCAGCCCCCAAACACACCCACACCACACACCCTACACCCCGAGTTCACCAGTGGAGGATGTGTGTGTAGCTTCCTGCACAGAGATCAAGGTCATCTCTGAGTATGCACCGTGGACAATTCAGCATTCGAGACCGCAACACCAGAGCCCCCCAAGCTCTTGCAATCTCTCAGCTCTTGGTCCCCAGTCAGGGAGACGTCATGCTCAGGGGGCCCACAGCCTCGGTGAGTCTTGTGGCTTACTTAGGAGCAGAGGGAGACGGCTGGGGGAGGGAACTCTGTGCCGTGTGTCGGTCTGCTGGGGTCTCGGGCTTGCTGCCAGGCCTCCCTGCCTGCCTGAGCAGCTTGCCCACAGGAGTGGCCTTTGAGGGGAGGACAGCCGTTCCTGGGGTGTCCTGGTGGGTCAGATGGCTCCTCCCAGAGGCTGGCTGTGGCTGCAGCTGTGGGAGCCTCCAACCCCAGGGCCGGGGTGGCATCTGGCCGCCCCTGGGAAGCAGGGCAGGCAGGGCCCAGGAGAAGGTTGGAGCTCCAGGCAGGGCAGGGCCACTGGCTGCCAGCAGGGTGGTGCTTGCCTCACGTTAGACCCCGCCAGGCCCTTCCACCTCACTCTCAGCCTTGCAGGCAGCATTTTGTGTGTCTCTTTCAGATGACCAGGAGCCACCAGACCATCCCCAAGACCAGAAAGGCAGCCGCCTGCAGCACAGGGCTTCCTCAGGTAGCGCTTCGCCTGGCTCCTAGAAATGCAGGTCCAAACTAGACGGTGGGGTGCGAGTCCAGGTCCTATTCACAAGTGTCCCCTCCCGCCCCGCCCCGCCCCACCCCGGTTTCCCCATCCCGCCTCCCCCCAGGACGTGGACGGAGCGGGCCTCCTTTCCCAACGAGGACCCCTGGGCTAGGGATGGAGGGCCAGGGGCAGAGGAGGCGAGAGGAGGCCAGAGTACACTGATCTCTTTCCTTCTCCACTGCGCTCGGCCAGTGTGTGACACTCCAGAAAGAAAATAGAGGAGCTCAGAGCGCATCTTGGTATGAGCAACCTCGGCGGGGGCGGGCCGGCCGGGGCGGGCCGGGGCGGGGGCAGACTGCTGTGGCTCACTGCATCAGCTGGGGGGCTGCAGGGGGGAAGGGCTGCAGGTGCAGGAGCCTCACAGGACCACCCTCCCCAGGGATGGGAACCCCGCAGGCTTGGCCCCGGAGCCTTGTGTGCATTTACAGCGAGTTGTTACACAGGTCGGAAACGTATTGTCTGACCTGTGCGCCGCACGCTGCCAAAGAGAAGCGGCCCTACCGGTCTTCTCTTTGTATGTTTAGAGACACCCCGTCTGTCCACTAGCTCCCCTTGCGCTGCGCCCTGTGTGGCTTCTACGGTGTGTGTGTGTCTTGATGTATGTGCCTGTCTCACACGTCCTGAGTGGTTCTGATGTGCCCCCAAAAGCTTGAGAAGTGCCGCACGCTGTGTTGCCACGTCCAAAATACGTGCACGCTGAGTGGAGGGGATGGGTGCGTGAGTCGGTCCCAGGGCTCTGTGGATGGGGCCAGAGGGGGGTCTCAGGTTACAGGGCCAGGCAGTTCCTCGCGGGGCGGGCCGGGCTTCTCGAGCCCTGTGTCTGGGCCGCGTGCCTATGCCTCTCTGTTTCCGCAGGCAAGCAGTCCCTGGCTGACAAGTCCCAGACCCTGTGAAGTGAGTGTTACACATACCATGCCCCGTCCCGCAGTCTTGGCTGCTGAGGGGCTGAGGCTGGGCCTGGCGGGAGGCTCTTCTCTGACTCTGCTTTGTTTGACAGGTTGAAGCCCGCATCTTGCTACGAGAGAGGCGGCTGGTGGCTTGGGAGCCCAGGAGCTGTGGCCAAGCTGACTGGGTCCTGTTCTCCGTCAGCCCTCTCCCTTCCTCCTCCTCCCGGTGCCCTCTGCCCACCCCGGTTCACAGCAGTTTCAAATTAAAGTGTCTGTCATGTTCCGTGGTCTGCCCTCTCTGTGGGATAGGGCGGGGAGCTGCTCCATTTCAGAACCTTTTCCAAAGAGTTCCTCTGGCACTCTGCAGTCTCCTGCCCACCCCTGTGCACCCCCCCACCCCCCCCCCCGCACCGTCGGGCATCTGGGCCAGCCCGGGTCAGCCTGTGAGCAAGAGCCATGCACCGGGCTCCACCGCACCTGGGACTGGGCTCTGCGTGGGCTCTGCCCGGCCACAGGAGCCCCTCCTCCTTCCCTGCAGGCCCTCTGTGTGTTCTTTCTGGGCTGCCTCCTCTTTTGGGCGACGGGTCTCATCATGGTGCCGTTCCCCTCCCCTTCAGCAGGGCTTCGTGACCCCCTTGCAGAGCTCCCAGCCCTCTTCCTTCCCTCCCTGGATCGCTGCCCTGCTTCTCCCAGCCCGCCCTGCATCTCTGTCACCAGCGTCCTGGACCTCTGCGGCTCTGTCTGGGGGCCCTTTCTGCACCTGTGACTCGGCGGGGGTTCAGAGTGCAGAGGAGCCCAACTCCCCTCGTCTCAGGCCCTGTCCTCTCCATGGAGCCTTCATCTCCCTCTGGTGCCACCGCGCACCCGCGCGACTCAGGCGGGACCCGGGCTCACCTCCTCTCCTCTCTAATCCTCACCTTTGATGCCAGTGGGGAGGCCTTTCGGTTGGGGGAGGTTTGGGAATGAGTCTCTGGTGGTGCGTCTGGGCCAACTCGGGGGATGCCGGGCGCTGGCACCTGGACACGGGCGGCCTAGCGGTCGCCGGGAGCGTTCTCATCCTGCGTGTCCTAAGCAGCTCACCGGCCCGCCTCCAGCCTGGGCGTCGCCGCGCTCCGGAGCGCGAGGGCCCAGCTGCTGTGGCAAGTGCCGGCGGGTCCGGATGTGCGGGAGTGGTCCAGGGAAGTCGTGCTCACCACCCCCGGACACGGGTTTTCCCGGAACTGACAGTTCTGCGTCCCAGCTCAGCCTCCCGGACTTCCTCCGGGGGGACACGCGACACATGATTAATACAACGCGGCGTGCTGTCACCGCGGAGTCGCTACAAACC